CAGAACAGATCCTCACACAAACCATGTTCACACCACACTCATGATAATGACCAACAATATTCACGTTTTCTGTGTATGATATCTGAGTCGCCTTTCTTCTGCCCTAATTACAGGGCAAAATGGAAATTAATCCACCACACTAGGCATCAGAGGCCATGTAGCACTGCTATGAGAAGGGAGAACGTTACCTCTCCCACCTGGGGTGTGGCAGACAAGGGGTTTTAAGTGGAGGCCACAGACACTTAGCGGGAGTCTCATTTGCCTTATTGCCCCTTGTACAGTTGATAGTCATAAACCTGTAATTTTAAGTAATTAAGCGTGGCAGAGCCTAATTACAGGTAACTACTGATATTTGTTAAATGAATATCCATGACATTGGCTGTATAACCAAGTAAGACAAGAAAATTAAAAAATATTCCAAGCATCATTACGACCACTAATTACTCCGCAATAGACTGTCGAGCATAGATTCGGAATCGGCATGCTCGGTTGTGCCTATACTGAGATTTTGAACAAAATCCCATATATCGCGATTTTTCTCGGCCCTGAAAAAACCTCTAAAGGAGATTAACTACAGTAACTAGATATGTTTCTACAGCTGATAAAATTACTTATATCAATGCGGATATGTGCAGCATCTCCGAATAGGGAGGTAGAAACTCGGTTAAATTCAATAGTAATGAAACTCTGTATTTACCAATTACACTTTCCAAATTAGATGATCTCCCACCAGCCACATTTCAGGAAGCATTCATTCTGACAAATTCTAAATTCGATATGCTAGGCCTCACCATTTCCTCTAACATGTCATGGTAGCCACACAGCCACAACATTGCTAAAGCTGCCTCGTGAAAGCTGGGAATGCTGTACAGATGCCGTAGTTACTTCACTCCTGAGCAGTTGCTTCAAGTTTATAAAGGATTCATTCGTCCTAACTTGGAGTACTGCTCTCATATCTGGGGTGGCTCTTCTTCTGTCCAACTGTTAGATAGGGTGGAATCAAAAGCATTTCGTCTTACTCACTCTCCTCCTTTAGTTGACAATCTTTTTTCCCTTTCTCTTCGCAGCAATGTTGCTTCACTCTCTCTCTTTTACAGGTACTTCAACGGGCAATGTTCGGTGGATTTGGCATCCTGTGTACCGCCGGCAAGGCCGTGGGCTCCTAACACACGTCTTGCCCACGGTGCCCACCGATTCTGTGCGGATGTCGGTCAAGCTAGAATAACCCGTTATAGTATATCCTTCTTTCCTCACACAGCCAAACTATGGAATGCTCTGCCTTCTTCTTCGTTTCCATACTCATACAATGTCTCATTTTAAAAACTGGTTTTTCGGCATCTTCTAATCTTAATTTCTTGTTATTCTTATTTGTTTCGTCCCTCAGGCCCCGATGTGGGTCGATGACCTGTGCCCGGGTGGGCTATTCCCCGTAAAAAAAAATTAAATGAAATGCTTAAGTCATATAATTGTCAACTTACATTAGGTTATGCTACGAGGTGTAATATGGTTGTCATATATTTAAGAAGCAATTGACTAATAGACATGACAGTCTACAGTGGTGTATAGGTGAGCGAGTAGCCGGCTATGGCAAGACTCAGTTTTTATTTATTCTCCATCATCCTCAAACGTTACTGCATGATGTAAATAAACACTGGGAATATAAGTTGCCATATATACAAAACTTTTCAATGATCCTAATTCATTCAAACAGGCTGAGGGCAGCCTATGGAAGCAGTGGTGTGTATAGTTAGGAAGGAAGGTATGCATTAATTACCCTATGGATTGGCGAGCATAATTATTTTTCTTGGTAAACGACTTTCAAATAACAGCACTATATTTGCTGAGATTTGGTGAGGAAGCTAATAAGCACCGATTCATATTAGAATAACTAATATGAAACTTCTTTGTATAGTCATTTAAAGGAAGCTTCCGAGAGCAACGTCTTAAGCGACTATACTAAGCAGGGAAGGACACCACTTAGATCTAACCACGCTGCTCTACCTGGTATGGTTAACCACTGCCAGGTGAACATGTTGCTTTCATTCTCGCACTCGCTTATACCTAAATACAGTTATTTAACACCAAACTATTTTCCAATGAATTTCACAATTCATTAAGTTTACCCTCCATACTATTGACTGGCCATAAAAACTTTCCCAGTGCGCAATTTTGTGTACTACATCCTGTGTGGGTGGCCCGACCCGCCTGGTGATCAGCGCCAGTCGGGGATCAGCAGTTGAGTCATAACTACAGTATGTGCTTTTGGTTTTCCTTCATGGCCATATTTTGTTCTGTAATTGTTATACAATACATATTATATATATAACATACACGCGTGGGTGTATGCCCCTCGGGCTGGTGACAGTTCCTCACGTTTCTGAGGGAAGTGAAAGACCTGGAGAAACAGAGCACGGGGGAAGCAGTAGAGGGAGTGTAGTATTATTTGTGCTTATTTATTGTCTCCCAACATTCGGTCAGTAATATATGAATATATAATTAACCACACCAGTAACATAGGCAAAGACTTAATAATTTCCAATACCACATTATTCTCTTTATTACGTATTAATAGTTTGTTTAATAAATACCCTCCTTGCACATCACCACTAGCCCGTCACCCTCCTCTCACACAGGCTCCCGGTCCCCCACTCCACGTCACGAGTGATGCTTCAGACGCGGGTTCATACTTCCGTGGTTCACAACTCTCGGAGATGAGGATTGACAACACTGACTGTAGCAGGTGGAATTGTGGGAGGGTGTACATGTACAGTCCCCTTCACTAGTGCATTTACAGGGGCTCATCACGTTTTGTGCAGGGTGGCAGGGCTGTGTTTGCTTACATTCGACAGAAGGAAACTCAGAATAGTAAACGTAATATGGAATCAAATTAAAATACTATTCAAACAAATATCTAAATGTAATAATTTGAGGAAATGTTTATATGGCGAGCCCCTGTAAACGCACTAGTGAAGGGGACTGTACAACGACAAGTACAGGTACAATGATAAGTACAGGTACAATGGCTTGTACAAGTGCAATGGCAAGTAGTTACAGGTACAGGTACAATGATAAGTGAAGGTACAATGGCTAGTACAAGTGCAATGGCAAGTAGTTACAGGTACGAGTACAATGATAAGTACAGGTACAATGACAAGTACAGCTACAAGTACATGTACAATGATAAGTACAGGTACAATGATAAGTACAGGTACAATGACAAGTATAGTTACAAGTACAGGTACAATGACAAGTATAGTTATAAGTACAGGTACAATGATAAGTAAAGGTACAATGACAAGTGCAGGTACAATGACACGCACAGGTACAATAACAAGTACAGGTACAATGACAAGTACAGGTACAATGACAAGTACAGTTACAAGTACAGGTACAATGACAAGTATAGTTACAAGTACAGGTACAATGATAAGTACAGGTGTTCTAGGCCGGTTAACTGCTGATTCTGTCTAGGTTAATGAGGCCGGAACATTTATATTATATAGGGTTTATAGTAGCGAAACCCAATTGTCTGTTATCCATTTATTCAGGAACTATCTAGGATACAGTTCCAAAAGTAGATCATCGTAACTTATCACTGTAACTATGAGTGTTAAGAGAAGGACGGAGGCTATGTTAATAGACCTGCTAAATACGTCCGTTTGGTGTGAGGGGTTGAGTGACTCTGCTGTGAGTAGGAACCCATCGAAGGAGAACGGAATATGTACGTCGTCCTCCCTCGACGGAAGACGGAACCATCCACGATGGTTCTCAATAACGTCTTCCTCTAGTCAAGGATATCAAACTACTGCCCACTTTAGGTGGCCAGGGAGCCGGCAACTTAATGCCTTAACTCAGCACAACATGATGCGGCTTCCCGTGGGCACACCTTATCACGTGCTCTGAACATGTCACCTCATAGCCAGTGGAGTTACAGGGGATGATAGAGTATATAAATCAAATGTAATTAACCCATTTATATAATGCTTCTGCCTATGAGACAGGGGCTATTACATCGCTCGGTCACCTACCATCCAAGCTCCACGAAGACTAAACTAAACTCGCAGAAAAACATTCTATACATAAGCCTAACCATGTTACAAACATACTGTATGTGTAAACACTAAGCTGGGGACTCTGGAACCGTAGGTTTTTCATCAACTACTGGGGTCCTAGACTTAAGTGTCTTACAAGCTAGTATCTTATGTACAATGGCAAAATTGGATGATTCTGACTTAAAACACAAACATTACTGCCAATAGCAGCACAATAGTGGAAATCACTAACTTGGGTAAGCAAATCCCGTATTAACAAAGCAGAAATAATCTTTGCCTACTTCGTTTTTAAGAACGCACCTTCTTAGCAATGTACAACTTTTGCTACTATAATCACGCGGGATTAATGAGTGTGTGGTGCTTGAGACTCTTCCGACGAAACATTCATTTTTGCAGAGAGCAATGGTACCAAGTTGTGAAGGGTTCTACATGGTATTGCGGAAAATTTACAGTCTGTGATACTTTACTATAGAACTATTTGAAAAGATGTCTATGACATCATTAAGATATGTAGTTTGAAAATCATGAACATTATTATCCTCCCTGGGATCAAAAAAAAAGTCCACATTTTCTATGTCTAAGGTTTGAAAAATTATTTAGATACAAACCAAAGAAATAACCTTATCCATCCATTTACAGGAAATCTATAAAAATTATAGTTAAATTAATTAAAGTATCAATAGCTGAACAGGTGAAAAATAAATACTGGAAATTATCATACGTCAGTATTCAGTGAGATAAGCAAGGCACTTATAACACATGATATAACCTCCACGATGTCCTATCAGTGTGAAGTTATGTCGAGAACATGTAAATGTGTGTATATATTTAATGTATGCCCAAATACTACCTATTCCTTGTAGGCTTGATTGAAGAATCCTTTCTAGAATTTCTTGAAAATGTGAAATTGTTGCAGCAATCCCGTAGACTTGTGTGTGTCACTTACAGGAGACACAGCTGATGCTAAGGCCGGTAACTGGGTCAATGTCCACGAAAATCTTGAGTACAGCAACCTGCTGCTACCTGTCAGTGAACTCAAGGACTCTGGGGTTCACCGGGTACACTAGTGCATCCACCACACCATACCTCAGAATGCTGAGACCATCTCTCGTGATCGGAGATGTGTCATCACTAGGTGGGTGCTGGGGTGCTGGTAACTGGGGTTTACTCACGCCATACAAAAGAATTTTGTTGACAGGATGTTGATTGATGAGTAGTCACAACAACTGTAGTCACGTCCTGTCACACCCTGGGCAGTGAACAAATCATTTGCAGAAACTAATGTTCACTTCAGCTCACAGGATTGTTGCCATAATTCAGTAACTATCAATAACTCCGTATTGGTTTTCGATATAAAAAAAATTGGATATCATCTTTGGATGACAAAATAAAAATCACTCAACGCATAACGTCTCACAACAGGATATTATTATTATACACTTTGGAAGAATATATCATGTCACTTATATATTTATTTTTATTTTTGGTTTCGTAAAACACTTATGACTTGTTATGTAGATTGTGTATATAGACCGGAATGTTGTTACCCGTTACTGATTTCTTTGATCGTTGTAACAGATGTAACAGTAAATGTAACAGTAGTATAACAGTTTCTTTGTAGATCTGCTGCCACGTATATAAGAATTCTTCTTCTTTACCAGTATGCTACAGTAATGAGGATAACCTAATATCTCTACCTTTACCAACTGTGTATATGGTGAGTTGACTGATAGTGTGATATAACAGTTACTTGTGAAACTGTCATATATGTAACAACCTTCCTGGGTTGTCACCACTTGTAACACTCACTTGAGAAGCTATTTCGGATGGAGTCCCACCGCTGCCACCTTAATGTTCTAGGCCGGTCAACAATGACAAGTGCAGGTACAATGACAAGTGCAGGTACAATGACAAGTGCAGGTACAATGACAAGTGCAGGTACAATGACAAGTGCAGGTACAATGACAAGTGCAGGTACAATGACAAGTACAGGTACAAAGACAGGTACAGGTACAATGACAAGTACAGGAAAATGGCAAGTATGTGTACAATAGCACAGTACAATGACAAGCACAGGTACAATAACAAGTACAGGTACAATGATAAGTACAGGTACAATAACAAGTACGGGTACAATGATAAGTACAGGTTCAATGAGAAGTACAGTTACAAGTACACGTACAATAATAAGTACAGGTACAATGACAAGTGCAGCTACAATGACAAGTACAGGTACAATGACATGTACAGTTACAAGTATAATGACAAGTACAGGTACAATGATAAGTACAGGTACAATAACAAGTACGGGTACAATGATAAGTACAGGTTCAATGAGAAGTACAGTTACAAGTACACGTACAATAATAAGTACAGGTACAATGACAAGTGCAGCTACAATGACAAGTACAGGTACAATGACATTTACAGTTACAAGTATAATGACAAGTACAGGTACAATGAAAAGTACAGGAAAATGGCAAGTATGTGTACAATAGCAAGTACACGTACAATGACAAGTATAGTTACAAATACAATGATAAGTACAGGTACAATGATAAGTACAGGTACAATGACAAGTGCAGGTACAATGATAATTAAAGGTACAATAACAAGTACGGGTACAATGATAAGTACAGGTACAATGATAAGTACAGGTACAATGATAAGTACAGGTACAATGATAAGTGCAGGTACAATGATAAGTACAGGTACAATGATAAGTACAGGTACAATGATAAGTGCAGGTACAATGATAAGTATAGGTACAATGACAAGTACAGTTACAAGTGCACGTACAATGACAAGTGCAGGTACAATACTAAGTACAGGTACAATGACAATTACAGTTACAAGTGCAGGGACAATGACAAGCATAGATACAATAACAAGTACAGGTACAATGATAAGTACAGGTACAATAACGAGTACAGTTACAAATACGGGTACAATGATAAGTACGGGTACAACGGCAAGTACGGATACAATGGCAAGTACGGGTACAACGGTAAGTACGGGTACAATGGCAAGTACGGGTATAACGGCAAGTACGGGTACAACTGCAAGTACGGGTACAATGGCAAGTACGGCTACAACGGTAAGTACGGGTACAATGGCAAGTACGGGTACAACTGCAAGTACGGGAATACGGGTACTACGGAAATGCGGGTACAACGGCAAGTACGGTACAATGGCAAATTACGGGTACAACGATACGGCACAACGGCAAGTACGGGTACAACGGCAAGTACCTTGATTACAGTGACAAGGTGCTTGGTTACAGTGGCACGAGCGGGTTTAACCGCAGTGCAGATTGCAACGGCAAGTACGGTTACAACGGCCTTGAGATTACGGGTGCATGGCAAGCATGCAGGTAAAACTGACGGAGTGCGGTTGCAATGGCAGGTGCAAGTACGGGCACAAGGCGACGGGTGCACGGGTACAATGGCAAATGGCAGGTGCACGGGTTTCAATGGTGGTACAATAGCAAGGGTAAAACAGCAGGTGAAATGGCAAATGACAAGTTACGGGTACAATGGCAAGTAAAAGCTACAATGCTGCAAACATTTGTAGTTTAGTTATAGTGTTAACCTTCGTCCTTCGTCAACTGCAACAAATGATAGTTGACGAGGACCAGATGTAGCGCCAGGATTGGTATAGTGTGCAGTGATGTAGCGCCAGGGTGTGTGTATAGTGTGCAGTGATGCAGCGCATGGTGTGTGTATAGTGTGCAGTGATGCAGCGCCAGGGTGTGTGTATAGTGTGCAGTGATGTAGCGCCAGGGTGTGTGTATAGTGTGCAGTGATGTAGCGCCAGGGTGTGTATGTGGTGTAGCGCCAGATTGTGGCGCCAGGGTGTGTGTATAGTGTGCAGGATGTAGCGCCAGGGTGTGTGTATAGTGTGCAGTGATGTAGCGCCAGGGGTGTGTGTATAGTGTGCAGTGATGTAGCGCAGGGGTGTGTGTATAGTGTGCAGTGATGTAGCGCCAGGGGTGTGTGTATAGTGTGCAGTGATGTAGCGCCAGGGGTGTGTATAGTGTGCGTGATGCAGCGCCAGGGTGTGGTATAGTGTGTGCAGTGTGTAGCGCCAGATAGTGTGCAGTGATGTAGCGCCAGGGTGTGTGTATAGTGTGTGCAGTGATGTAGGGTGTGTGTATAGTGCCAGGGTGTGTGTGTGCAGTGATGTGTGTGTATAGTGTGCAGGGTGTGTGTATGAGTGTGTGACAGCGCCAGGGTGTATAGTGTGCAGTGATGTAGCGCCAGGTGTGTGTATAGTGTGTGCAGATAGTGTGCAGTGATACAGCGCCAGGGTGTGTGTATAGTGCAGCGCCAGGGTGTGTGTATAGTGTGTGCAGTGATGCAGCAGCCAGGGTGTGTGTATAGTGTGCAGTGATGTAGCGCCAGGTGTGTGTATAGTGTGTGTATAGTGCAGTGATGTGCGCCAGGGTGTGTGTATAGTGTGCAGTGATGCAGCGCAGGGTGTGTATAGTGATAGTGTGTGTGTGTGCAGTGATGCGCCAGGGGTGTGTGTATAGTGTGTGATGTAGCGCAGGTGTGTGTATAGTGTGCGTGATGCCAGGGTGTGTGTATAGTGTGCAGTGATGAGCCAGGGTGTGTATAGTGTGCAGTGATGTAGCGCCAGGGTGTGTGTGTGTGCAGTGATGTATGTGTGTATAGTGTGCAGTGATGTAGCGCCGGGGTGTGTGTATAGTGTGCAGTGATGTAGCACCAGGTGTGTGTATAGTGTGCAGTGATGTAGCGCCAGGGTGTGTGTATAGTGTGCAGGTGATGCAGCGCCGGGTGTGTGTGTGTGCAGTGTATGTGTAGCGCCAGGGTGTGTGTGTGCATGAGTGTGCAGTGATGTAGCGCCAGGGTAGTGTGTATAGTGTGCAGTGATGTAGCGCCAGGGGTGTGTGCTTATAGTGTGCAGTGATGTGGCGCCAGGGTGTGTGTATAGGTGTGCAGTGATGTAGCGCCAGGGTGTGTGTGTATAGTGTGCAGTGATGCGCCAGGGGTGTGTGTATGGTGTGCAGTGATGTGCGCCAGGGTGTGTGTATAGTGTGCAGTGATGTGGCGCCAGGGTGTGTGTATGTGTGCGCGTGTGTATAGTGCAGTCGCCAGGGTGTGTGTATGGTGTGCAGTGATGTAGCGCCAGGGTGTGTGTATAGGTGTGCAGTGATGAGCGCCAGGGGTGTGTGTATAGTGCAGTGATGTAGCCAGGGTGTGTGATAGTGTGCAGTGATGTAGCCCAGGGTGTGTGCAAGGGTGTGTGTATATAGTGTGCAGTGATGCAGCGCAGGTGTGTGTATAGTGTGCAGTGATGCCTGTGTGTATAGTGTGCAGTGATGTAGCGCCAGGGTGTGTGTATAGTGTGCAGTGATGTAGCGCCAGGGTGTGTGTATAGTGTGCAGTGATGTAGCGCCAGGGTGTGTGTATAGTGTGCAGTGATGTAGCGCCAGGGTGTGTGTATAGTGTGCAGTGATGTAGCGCCAGGGTGTGTGTAGTGTGCCGTGCAAAGTTGGCTCCCGTAAGGCTGGGTAGTTGTAACAACCTGTGCCTTAAGGTGAGGTGATGTGACGTAAGGAGAGAGGGAGGTCTCTGTGCGCTCTGGACAGAGGACAGTTGAACCGCCCTATTGTTGTGTTAAGAAGACATAATCTCTGAATTCTGATATTATACATTAGATTTAAGTGTCATTGAAATAAATAATAAAACATTATTTTATCCTGTCTGCCATAGTGTGTGTACGTAAGTCATGCTCTTCATCTCATCTTTGGGCCAAATCTGAGCCATGACGAAATATGTCTTTGCATGAGAAGAAATGGTATGCTACAACAATACATTATACCATATTAATGGTGTAAACATGTGTGTAATGATCGGAGAAAATGCTTCTCCCGTCACATATGTGACAGTGATTCGACAGAAATGCGGCTGGGCAGACTATTGACTTCGTCTCAGAATCTGAGGCACCGCGGCACCACACCCCATAAAGCCTAACGCTATACTAACGTATCTTACACTTTGCTTGAGAATATATAATGTGGTAGATTTATACTGTGTAACCAACTTTTTCAGCCTTGCATGGTCCACTGCGGTGCAGGTGTTATTCACTCCACGTTAAAAGCGTCCATACTACATCAATTATTCTATATAAACGTTGCCAGACCAGGTAATGAGCCAAATTATATCATTCTGGTCCCAGGGTACTGTGATCACCTCAGGGTACTGTGTGCACCTCAGCGTACTGTGTCCACCATAGGGTACTGTGTGCACCTCAGGGTACTGTGTGCACCTCACGTCTCACCGAGTAACTTAGAGGCTTCGGATTCACCCTCCAATACTCTCAGGGATCATCTCACGGAAAGAGTGGATTGACAACGCTGAGCGTACTAGTCGGAAATGTTCCCAACTGTGCAGGTATTGGTAGAAGTACAATGACGACTACAGGTAAAGATACAAATACAGATAGAAATAAAAGACAAGTACAGTCATTCTCAGTTGTTGTTTACAAGAGTTATAGATTAAGGACATGGAAGAGACAATGTAGGTACAGGAGGAAGGGAGAGGGAGAGTGGAGAGAGATAAGGGGGAGGGAGGTCGGGAAGGGAGGTGGGGAGGGAGGAGGGGAAGGGGAGGTGGGAGGGGAGGAAGGGGAGGTGGGGAAGGGGGGGGGAAGGGAGAGGGAAGAGAGGAGGAACAGGGAAGAGGGGAGGAGGAGGGAGGGAGAGGGGAGAGAGAGGGGAAGGGGAAGAAACAGAGAGAGAGAGAGACAGAGAGAGAGAGAGAGAGAGAGAGAGAGAGAGAGAGATGGGTAAGTTCTTCCTTCTCACACACACACACACACACACACACCTCAGCTACACTTAGACACCCTTGACTGAAAACCATCATATTGAACGGACTGATGTAGCTATACCCACAAGGTCTATGTATTACACCCAGGAATACTATGTATATATATGTATGTATTATAAGTATTTTATGCATAGATCTCTCTCTCTCTCTCTCTCTCTCTCTCTCTCTCTCTCTCTCTCTCATATACTGTCTGCGTCTGTCTGTTTGTCTGTCTGCCTGTCTTTGTCTGCCTGTTTATTTATCTAATCATACAAATATTTTCAGTATCATACAAACGGATGTGTCTTCTCTAAATAAAATGCATGCCATTCATACATTAGAGGGACATACAGTATACATCCCCATCTGTATACTTCATATATACATGAAAGTAACACATACACATAGGGTTTATATTATTTTCATACAGTACATAGTCAACTTCCTGTCTATGTCATACACCAGTCAGTTATACTATCTTCACCGTTCCGGATGTCTTGTATAGAGGAATATATTACCATCTACTCATACGAATTCATATCATACAACATTCTGTCATATTCCACAGGGTTCATACACAAGCATACACAAGATTATTACCATATTATTACATACATCCATAAAATACAATATACAGTCAAATTATACTGAATAATACACATGCCAAAAGTAGTTATACACAAATTCGTAAGAGCTATACATACAACCACACACACACTATACAGTCATATACACACCATACACAACAATACACAGTCATATGTACACCATGCACATAACCATGCAAGTTATACACATTGCCATACACATGATAAATACACCCATACATACTATAAACAGGTATACACATTTTACGGTCATGAACATCACAAAATTCTGAGGACCATAAATATACAGTATAGGTTCAAACTAGCAATCTCCATATGTAGATTATGTGCAGGGGAGAGTGTAAACATGTGTCTGTCTGTCTGTCTGTTAAATAATGCTGTTAAATATCTGTCTGTTAAATCAATGTCTCTGTTAAGTAACTGTTTGTTAAATATCTGTCTGTTAAATAATGCTGTTAAATAACTGTCTCTGTTAAATAAATGTATCTCTTAAATAACTGTCTGTTAAATACTGCTGTTAAATATCTGTCTGTTAAATAGCTATCTGTTAAATATTTTTCTCTGTTAAATAATGCTGATAAATAACTGTCTGTTAAATAATGCTGTTAAATAACTGTCTCTGTTAAATATCTGTCTGTTAAATAATGCTGTTAAATAACTGTCTCTGTTAAATATCTGTTAAATAATGCTGTTAAATAACTGTCTCTGTTAAATATCTGTCTGTTAAATAACACTGTTAAATATCTGTATTTGTCTATTAGATAATGCTGGTAAATAACTGCCTCTGTAAAATAAATGTCTCTGTTAAAGAATGCTGTTAAATATCTGTCTGTTAAATAATGCTGTTAAATAACTGTCTGTTAAATATCTGTTAAATAATGCTGTTAAATAACTGTCTGTTAAATATCTGTTAAATAATGCTGTTAAAT